CTAGGTACTACTCAGTGACCTCCCAAGCATGGCTTTTGGCTGAACCAAACCAGGTATGCATCTTGGCTTTGGTGTTTATGTATTTACAACCTGAAATTTTCATTCACCTCCTCTTGGGATCTGATTATGTCAAAAGTTTCAAAACCAGACAGTTCCCAATTTGGAAAGCCCTTAATTAATACTTCTTCACAAACAGCTCACTCAGATTTTCCTTCTGCTTCATTTATTTATTTGTCTGATGATCCTCTTGGTATTTGCAGGTAGGAGCAAAAGGTATTCTGGTTGTGTAGTAGTTACTCTTCTCTCATTCCTGAGACAAATATCCAACACTCAAAATGAGGGAAGGAAAGGTTTATTTAGCTCACAGTTATTAAAGGTTTCAAGACAGTAGAGGAGAGGCTGGGGAACTGCCATGTCCAGGATGACCCTCCATACCTCTTTGAGACAGCACAAGGTACCCAGTTTAATGGTTCATGCTTCTCTGGCCCCACACCTAGACCCCACCCTGATCCTCTGGCCTTGCCCCTCAAGCCACTCTGTGCTCCTCAGTGAGGCTTTGGGGGGACAAGAAGACACAAACCATAATAGTTTGATTATCTTTCATACCACTATTAATTTTATGTGCCTTATTTATGTCTCTGCCTATCAGACAGCCACAAAGATATTCTTTTTTTCCACATAATTTTATTGAGAAACAAATAGCAATGAGACACTTTCAAACCAAATTGGTAGGACAGTTTCAATAATTAACACATTGCATACATTCTTCCTAGTGGTTAATTGCTGTACAAGATGTGGACTTGATATCCTATTTACAAACACTATTAGAACAAATCCATTTATTCATTAAGAGAATGTAACTATCTATCCTACCAATTTTGAATACACAGAAACAAAATGGACATTCATCTGTTTCCCCCTTTTTTAAGTTCCATTATTTGAATATTATAAGTGTGTTCAATCAGCAAAATATTCTAAAAGAGTCCAGTAGTCAATAATAGTATTGGGTCTTCCACTTGACTGGCAAAGTCAGAAATTGTTGACCTGAGTCCCCTACAGCTTAACATAACAGCATGGCTTTACTTCTCATACTTTGTTTTTATACTTTTCTGCTGGATGGTTAAGACTAAGATAAAGCAAGACCTACACAACAAGAGTTGTAGCTTTTGGGTCTGATAAGGTCAGTGAAATCCCCTCAGGATTTATTCTGAGATCCTGTACCTCAGATTGTGGAATCTTTGTCCATGTCAACCATATGGATGAGTCATGGCCATTGCTTGGCCAATGTGCTCTCTGTGAAAGCCTGAGGGAATGTTTTCTCTCCATGTGACTCTCAGGCACACTATACATCATCCATCACTTTCCTCTTTGGCCCCATAATCTCCTTGATCAGAAAATCTGGGACATTACTGAGTTACATGATGTTACAGTACAAGTTCTCATATGTCCTGAGTCTTAATTGACCTTGGAAGGCTGGACCAAAATGTTGGCTTTCCTGGAAGCCCTCCTTTTCATTTAATTTTGGTCTGCAAACTTAGGTTGTTAACCATCCAGAAGACAACCTTATTCTTATTACCATACAACCTAGGCTATTAAGCGCAACCTCACTATCTGTCTGAATATCAAACATCTTAGGCATAACATGGAACAGGTATTTTTCATCAAGTATTGATATGTCGAACTTTAAGTCCCTACAGAATATGATGAAAAAAAATTTTTAAATTAGAATATATTTTTGAAAATAGGCATAAAGAATTATATAATTCTTATGTTTCCACATAAGTCCAAAAATCTAACCATATACAACCTTGAAACAGGACAGTCCCACAACATTCCTTTTCCTGTCTCTTGCCTTCATTCACCACCTCATTTTTGAACAATTATCTACCTGAGAGACAGCACAGCAGCAACTGGCATGTCATGACAAGCAGCCTGTATTCAGAAGACCAGAATGACAGTCACTCTAAGCATAAAACTACTATTACAGATTACCATCTGCAGTGCAGTTTCTTAGCTCATAGCTATCAGTATATATAGTTGGTAAGTGAGAAAATCTTTCCAATTAACTGCTGGATTCAAAAATCTTCTGGAAATTCTCAGGATCATTGCCGTGCCCAACTTCTACATATAACTGTATGGCTTGACACTGTCATGTTTCCTCACTCTTCTCCTTTCCATCTCTTAATTAGTTAGTCCTCGAGTTCCTGCTTTCCTTTTACTTGTATTATACCTTTCTATTTGTATTTCTTCTTTAGAGTTCTTATACTAAGGAAACTATATGATAGTTACACATGTGTGTCTGCTTTATTTCACTTATGAGTATATGTTCAAGTGGCATCCACTTCAATATGAAGGCTTCAAGTTTATCATTCTTTATAGCTGAGTAATAGTCCATTGTGTAAAAATACCACATCTTCAACCATTCCTCAGGTGATGGGCATCTTGGTTGTTTCCAAGATTTGTCTATCACAAATTGTGCTGCTATAAACATAGGCACACATATATCCCCATGATATGATGTTTTCAGATATTCAGGGAAAATTCCCAGTAGAGGAATAGCTGGTTTAAATACGATTTCCAGTCCAACTTTTCTAAGAAGTCTCCACACTGATTTCCATAATGGTTGCACCAATCTACATTCCCACCAGCAGTGGAGAAGGGTTCCTTTTTCCCCACAGCCTCTCCAAAATTTATTGTTGGTTGATTTCTTTATGATAGTCATTCTTTCTGGGGTAAGATGATATCTCAATGTTGTTTAATTTGCATTTCTTGGATGACTAGTGATATGGAGCATCTTTTATTATATTTATTTGCTTCTTTAATTTCATCCTCTGAGAAGCATGTATTCATCTCAGATGCCCATTTCTGGATTGGGTCTTTAAATTTTGGGGTCCTAGTGTTTTTTAGTTTTTATACATTCTAGAGTGCAGACCTTTGTCTGAGTACTTATTTGTCATGATTTTTTCCAAATTTATGGGTTGTCTTTTCACTTTGTTGGTGATTTCTTTTGATGTGAAAAAACTTCTCAGTAAGAGAAGGTCCCAGTTGTTAATTCTTTCAAGTGTTTCCCATGTGATTTTATTTTTGTTCATGAACTCTTTGCCTACCCCTATGTCTTCAAGAGTTCCTCCCACTTTCTCCCCCAGGAGATTTAGTGTCTCTGCTCTAATGTTTAGATCTTTAATCCATTTTGACTTTAGCTTAGTGCATGGTGATAGACCTGGGTCAAGTTTGAGTTTTCGGCATGTAGAGAGCCAGTTTTTCCAGCACCATTTGTTAAAGAGGCTATCTTTCTTCCAGTGAGTATGTTTGGCCCCTTTGTCAAAGATAAGGAGCCACAAAGATATTCTATTGTGTATTAGAGCTAAAAAGAATTAAGATGATACTCTACAGTGGATGCTAAGCAATGTCAGGGACGTAATAAAAAAACATCCTTTTGAGAAAACTTGCTCATCAAAAATTAGAGTAACATAAGCAAAAAGTAAAGAACATAAAAGTGGAAGGATAGAGGATGTAAGGATGAATGACTGAGAAAAATAAGTAGAAATCAAGTGACTTGGGGCCAAAAAATTGCTGAAAACCATTACAAATAAAAAAGCCAACATGAATGCTTGGTAATTACACAGAGGTTAGAAAGCTCCATGTAAATCTGGAGCTTATATGATTCAAATCCTATTCAAATCCTTTAACTGTTACCCTGTCTCTCTTCCTGTGACTTTGAGCATAGTTGGCTCATTTGCTGGCCGAGGCCATCCCATGCCTTCCCGAGAGCACAGCACAGCCCCCAATGACTCATCCAGGGAGGGAAAAGAACTGTTGGCTTAACAATGGCTGCTGTAGGCCAGTCAAGGCACAGACACCCCTGGGCAGCACCAATCAGTCCAATGAATAGTTCCTTGCCAGCCACAATAGCAGTTAAAGCAGGGAAAATCATGACTAGCTGGTTGGGGAATAACAGCGTTCTAATATGGATGGATGCTCACTTGGCGCTGAGACCTAAATAAAAATCAACTCTGAATCATCAGGGGAAATTAATGACATTTGAATCTGCTCTTCTAAGATGAGAGTGAGGCATTCCGAGATCATAGCTGGGGCTTTTGTGCCCAGAATAATCAGCCTCTAAACTCCTCTGACAAGGCTATGAATAGCTCAGATGAATACGGTCTTAGTTCAATTTGGAATTAAATTACCATTTACAGTTCTGCAGGCATCTGTGCTTCGCTGGCCTTTGGACAAGCGTGATTAGTTAGTTAGTTAGTTAGTTAGTTAGTTAGTTAGTTAGTTAGTTGATTTTTTCTTTTTTTGTTTGTTCTTGGCCGTCCCATAGCACATGGCACATACTCAGTTCCACCTCTGCCCCTGCCATTCTATAATACAGAACTGTGGCCTTAGTAGCTCCAGCTCTACCCTTGTTGTGAATTAAAGCCATGTGAGTGCTGTCAAGAAGAGCTGGCATCACTTTTACTGGAAGACTGGATGAAGCTGTGCTTCTAACCCACAGTTGTGTTGACTGTCTCCTTCCTTTAGTATGCTGAAAGCAGAGAAATGTTTAAGGGTAGATTATTTAAGTGTAGTATTGCTTTTCAGTCCCATTTGCTCCTTTAAAAATAGAATTTCACTTTCTACTTTAACTGCAAAAGTAAATTACAGTATTCACATTAAAAAATCCTCAAAAAAATTTTTTTTTCCTTTTTGGATTTTTGAGACAGAGTCTCACTTTATAATTCAGGTTGACCTTGAATTCACCGAATGGGACAGGCTGGCTTTGAACTCATGGCAATCCTCCTGCCTCAGTCTCCTGCATGCTGGGATTATAGTCTTGTGCCACCATGATTGGCATAAAATATAGAAATTTTATATAACATCTGATAACTTTAGATGGATTTCAAAGTTTTGTCTCAATTTTAATCTATTTTTAAAGTTTTACTTTATATGAAGGCGTTGGTGGGAAATTTCTGAACACATTATTGGCAAATATCAATATCAAACTGTTAATTGAGATCCTTGGTTCATAAACGTGATGAGTGGGTGTTTGTGCCCTATGGGTGAGGTGTGTCTAACTCAAGTCTTACTACAACGTGGGCACAGTACTCATCTGATGGGAACTTGAATGGTCAGTTCCGTGTTTTGGGAAATTCAGCGTGGCAATGGGTTTCAGACTCCCAGGAGGAAGTGCAAACATCAGCTCCTTGGTCCCCTCTTGGCCTGAGGTCCCCAGGCCTCCTGCGAGGTGTCGGCAGCTTGGTTCCCCTCAGCCTCTTTCATCTTGCTTTCCCTTTTCTGACCAATTAGCAGCCATTCATGATTTTATCAGCAATTCTATCTCCATCTCTTCACCATCAAGGCCTCAAGAGAGAAATATGCGATGAACAAGAGTGTATTGCCTGTCATCTTCCCGTTGTGGGAGTTTTTTCCTTGGTCCCCTGTCCCATGGGGATCAAGTGGATCCAAGCTCGCGCTTTGGGCAGGAGGAAAGGACATGTGTTGCAGCTCACCCTCTCAACACCGAGTTTCCTGAAGCCCTGTGCAGCGACCTTGTGTTTATCCCCAGTGCCTAGTACTATTTAGTCATGCAATACGTGCTTCTGAAAAGAAGAGATGAGAAGAGAAAAGAGGAGAGCAGAGGGGAGGGGAGGGGAGGGGAGGAGAGGGAAGGAAGAAGAAAACAAGAAATATTAAATGAATTCCTAACGTCCATTTTGTATCTGTGTATTCAAATTGGTTAGGATAGATATATAGTTACATTCTGTTAATGAATAGAATGATTTGTTCTAATGGTGTTTGTAAATAAGATCTCAAGTCCGCATCTTGTACAGCAATTAACCACTAAGAAGAATATATGCAGTGTGTTAGTTATTGAAACTGTACTTCCGATTTGATCTGAAACTGTCTCATTGCTCTCTGTTTATCAATAAAATTTTGAAAAAAAAGAATTCCTAATTTATTTTGCAAAAATGTGTTCACTTTGATAAGTAACACTGCTCTTTCAGTTTATAGTTTAATTTTATGTGATAATATAACTTCTGACTTCTACTTTACTGTGCAGGCTAGAATTGATATAGGGAGAAAAACTGATCTCAGGTGGGTGACCTCCAAACGATACAGGGAACCTCCGAATGATACAGGAAAAATGATCTCCCAACCTGACTGGATGAGTTCATGTTCTCTAAAACCAAAGAATGAATTTTAGGAACAAACAGAGGTTGTGAGCAGAATATATTTATTGAGAGAAAGAAAGCAACTGTCTGAGAGAGGGACAGGAGGGGGGCCTGAGTGGGTTGTCCCCAGGAAGCTGTCTCTTCCAGGGACTTTTAAAGAGAAAAACCATGCGGTGAGGTGAGTCTAAGGTGGTGGAAACATGGGAACTTGCTTAGGTGGGCATGAGATGGGACAAAACTATGGCTAACCAATGAGATTATAAGCATCATTGCTCAAGTATTAAGTTCAGGACCAAATGTGGAAGTGAGTCACTTAGCAAGTGGGCATAAATGTAGAACAGGACTTTATCAGGTATCCATCCCATAGCAGTTGGATTAATGATTCTTCTGGCTCCGTCAGGGTGAAGACCAATCTCAGATGCCAATCTTTATAGAGGTCAGCATTTGTTTGATCTTTGGTCTTTAGGTCTGGCCCATGGCAGGAGCATCTGTCCCTCTCACAGTTGTAAGATCGCATCTTCTGTGTTATATCCTTTGAGGACCTAGCCCTGTCTGACTGTCTATAATATTTTTTTTTGTCATTGCTAAACTATTTTTATGTTTTGAAGAATATAAAATAGTGATAGAAAAAACAACAACATTAGAAACAATACAAAATTTCACTAAACAAGCTAAGAGGAGTTCAACAGTTGTTGCTATATTATATGACACTATCTTTAAATTTGTTTTTCAGGCTACCAGATATAAACATGCAAGATTTATTTAAAGAAAAAGCAGAACAGAATTATAATAAAAATATTGTGAGAAATTCAAAAGAA